TCATCTTAAAATATCTCCAAAGGTGACTTTTTTCCCCCAAAGGGACAAAATTCCTATGATGCTGCTACAGAAACTTTACATGAAAGTTGAAAGAATGCCTTCTTCACATCTAAAAGAGAAATACCCTTTTGTATTTGGTCCTCTTAAAGCATTCCTCCACTGCCACTCCAGCTACTTAGGGCAAAGGCTTTCAAACTTCAAAATTTTATGGACTAGGGTATCTGCCAGTTAAAAATAATTGCCAGAAAATGGCAAATATAACATTTTTTTCTGGTAGAACAATTTTAAACCTTTTTTTAAGACTAGCTCTATTTGAGAGAGTCAGTTTGATGTAGTGGTTAAGACATTAGGGTAGAAACCAGCAGACTGTGAGTCCTAGTCCTGCCTTAGGTACAAAAACAGCTGGGTAACCTTGGGCCAGTTGTTTTCTTTAAGCCCTAGGAAGCAGACAATGGTTTCTAAAAAACCTTGCCAAAAAAACCTGCAAGGACTTGTCCAAGCAGTCATGAGGAGTCAAGACTGATTTGAAGGCTGCCCCCTCCCAAAAAAGCAGTATTTGAGTGAATTCCCCCCCTTCTCACAGAACACCTTCGAGTTCTCAGTTTGAAAAACTCTTAGAGCACCCAAAAAATATCCAGCCATTGCTGAACTGATAGAGCCTATCCCAATTACTGTTATATTGTTCCAAAAATGGTTGAATGACTAAAATATTTTATATGTTACTTGCAGGGATCCTACTTAGGCACTCAAAGCCTTTATGTCCCATTCTCTGCAAACCTGCCTAGAAGCCCATCCACGTTTCCCCAACTGCAGCATAAAGATATTCACTAACTATATATAGAGGACACATACTTACAGTATCAGATCATCTTCAACTGTGGAAGAAGCTTATACTTGTACTTACTTGTTCCAGTTTCAAAATATGTAGCATTTTCCATTTTCTTCCAATACAAATCTTGCTGGGTGAACGATCTGCTGTGCTTCATTAACTATTTGGGCAATGACACAGTGAGCAACTGGTATATATATGCCCAGTTGCCTGGGCAATTTTGATCAAACATTATGCACTCTCCTTGTATACACAGATTTACTGGTATTCTAGACAAGAACTAGCCTTCTTTTTAAACATAATTAACAGTTTTTTGAGAGTGTTAAACTGATCTTTTAAAAAGGTCTGGTAGTGCGATAATTAAACAGGAAAGAGATTTTCATAGTCTGGCCTCCATTTCTGCACTATAGGTTTTCTGCTGTTTCTGCTGATAAGGATGTTTCCATGATTCTGTTTTCTACTGGTTTTATGACACTGGGGAAACATTATGTTGCCTATGACAGATGTCCCTTTGCCCCACTTACTGGTTTGAGGATATTCAGAATCTTTGATGAAATTGACAGGCGATGCTGGATGAAATGGGTCACCAGAGGAAACCATCAGTTGGTTTTTGTGCATTAAAACTGTAAAAAGTTACGTTTTATCACTGGGGCAAAGTAGAGCTTGACTGTGGGAACAACACAAATTGTACCAGGGATGGAATACATGATAATGTGGGCATCAGATGTGCCAGGTGCTGGTTAAAAATGTAGCTATAAATCCCCACCAGACAAGAGAATATTGGAGAGAATACAATTTTATTTTAAATTTAATTATTGAAAGATTATTGAAGATTGTCTGATCTTTCTGAAACTATCCAAACTCATATATGGTTCCTTTTGCCTGTATTTATAGTGAATCACTGCAGGTTCCATGTATTGTTCTGTACAGAAAGTACCTTTGTATTCTTTATGTCATCAGTCAAGACTGCTTCTGATTTAGGACAACTTCCCATCTGATAAATAGTTCTTGTACTCTGCCTGATAGACTTGCAAAGAAGCCTTCCAAATTCTCACAGGACTAGGCCTTAATACCATATATCAGTGATATCTGCAGCTGATTAATTCAGGGCTGGTGTTTCTTAGCCTGAAAAAAGTTAGCTTTAAAAGTGAACATTACGAAACACTTGTTTTCTGATAATACATTATATATGTGCTTGTTATTTTATTGGTTCATAGTGTCGGTGCCTATTGTGAAGTCTTTAAAATGTATTTTTATTTGGTTTTTTTTAAAAATGGAACTTTTATGTTGACCTTAGAAATTACTTTTCACATTTTGATTATGTGCCACCAAATTGGTATCGATTTTTAGAAACCACATAAGTTTTACAGGATGATCTACCCCCAACCTGGCCCTTTAGATCTTCCAATAATGCATCCTTCACTTCTGTACCTGAATCTATCCACCTTGCTGTTAATTGTCCTCTTCTCTTCCCTCCATTTCCTCCAGCTTTTGGGACTTCTTAAGGGAGTTCATTTTTCACATTATGTGCCCAAAATATAACATTTGAGGCTGGTCATTTGTACCTCAAATGAGAACTCTGGATTGATTTGTTGTATGATCCATTTTTTGTTTTATTGTAGTGTTCTTAAGAGCCTTTTCCAACACCAAATCTCAAAAGTCCATAGACTTGAAATCCATAGAAAGTCACAGGAAAAACAACTGCCTACACAATTCTGATTTTTGTAGATATAGACATATCATGGCATCAGAATACCTTTCCAAAGGCCTTCGTTGCTATCCTACTAAATACAGTATTAGTCTACTGGTTCCTTTAATGTTGAAAGTTAATTCTAAAAGACAGAATCAATCCACAACTTGTCAATCTTAAATCTGGTTGCTGTAACTGAGGGATCCCCAACCTTTTTGGTTTTGGGGACTGGCAACAGTGGCTTTGACGATGGGGTGGGAGGTTTCACACACGCAACTTAAATCCTATGCATGTACAAATAAAGCTTCGCACACCAAAGCTTTAACTGTTGTCATTAGTTTGTTGTTCGTTATATTTAACGGTAGTCCCTTCTTTTTTACTATGGTTCTTGACTTTCCTTACTAAAGCTTTTATTTACATTTTCCACTATCAGAATAGTGCCATCAACACAGCACAGGTTATTGATGTTTCTTTAGAGAAAAAAAAACAGGAATTGTTTCTTTTTAAATCCAAGTTCATCTTCTTCAAATCTAGCCACCCTCAATATATATGCAGCATATAGACCAGTGATGGTGAACCTTTTCAGCACTGAGTGCCCAAACCGGAACAAGTGCACCAGAGCCCTGGAAACTCGAACACCAGCTGGCCAGTGCATATGTGTGGGCCGGCCAGCTGGTCTTCGGGTTTCCAGGTCTCCAGCATGCACCAAGATCAGCTGGCTGGCGCGCGTGTGCCAGAAACCAGAAGAGTAGCTGGCGACGGCACACATGCCCACAGCGAGGGCTCTGTGTGCCACCTCTGGCACGTGTGCCATAGGTTGACCATCACAGAGATAGACTAAATAAATAAGAAGAGAGTATACAACTTTTTTTCATTTCTTTGCTATGTCTAGACCAGGAGTGTCAAACTGATGGCCCACGGGCCGGATACATCACACGCAGGCCACGCCCACCACAGCTCCGCAAACAGAAAAACATAGTGAAACATCATGTGATGGCAATGTGACTCTGCAAGTTTGGCACCCGTGGTCTAGACAATGGCTTCCAGTCCTGTATATAGGTTTTGCATGAGGATGGTGTGATGTCCTGGGATTCCCATTTTCCTAAGCTTGATGTGGTTGACAGATTCAAAGGCCTTTATACTCAGTGAAGCACATCTAGAGTCTTTTTGGTATTCTAGTTTTAGTGTCTTTTAAAAATTATAATAATTGAAATGCAAATCACAAACATTTATGTTTCAAATCCTGGCTATTTTTCACTGCAAATTAATACATGCATGCATGGACATAAAACTAGTATACATTTATTTTTAAAGAAATAATCATGGGCTCAGTGTCTATGACAATGTTTTCCAGATTACATATATGTATAAGTTTCTATTAAAAATGCTTTCTTGAAAAACATGCCATATTTCTTGGTAAATCTGTCATAAAACTGATATATGGTAACAGGGAGAAGGCAATGTTTTTAAGAAACTCTTTGATGTATTGTTTGCATGGAAATCCATCAAGGTTCCAATTTATTTGCTGTTACCTTGTCCTTCTCCTCACATGAATAAATCTTAAAGAAGATGTATTTTTTATCATCAGATATGTTGGATGGAAATCTTTAAACTATTGAGCATTCAGCAAAATACTTCAAAGTATAAGAATAAACTTCATTATAGGCCAATGAGAGGAGTGAAGTTTCTCTTCAGAAGACTTTTGTTTCAAAATTCACCTCTTCTATGGACTTTATATATGGCCTAGGGCAAGTCATTTTCTTTGTCAGCCCCATGTACATGGCATCTTACTTCATGGTGTTGTGGGAATATAATTTGATCAACTCAGCATATTCCTGAAAAGGCATTGTTTCCACAATATGCTAATGCCAATTTCTAATTATACTATATAATTATACTGTTAGACATTTCAAGCCACCTGTAGTATAGGAGCAACATTACTTTTAAGGTGACTATGGAAGCAATGCAGTTCTTCCTCAATGATGGATTACTGAAGAAGCACAATATAATAGCTATCAGTAGCCAGTAGTGTTACTAGCATCAAAAGTTACCATCACGAGTCAGAGGTCTATTATCTGACTTTCCTTCACCCCGGTAGGATCTGTAACTATATGAACTGGCAGATCCATCCAAGGTATTTCCATTAGTTGAGTTTAAGAACTGATACCAAACAATTTATAAAAGAATAGGGAAAAACTATGATTGATTAAGCCAAGCTGTTATTAAAGCCCAGATTCTGAAAATAATTTATATTGGTATCTTTTGACTTGATTTGGTATTTGGACAAGATTTCCTTGAAAACTCAACCACTCACTTTGCTTTTCCCAATCTAAACTACAATTTAATAGCAGTTTTCATTCATAGGCTTAGGAGCTTTTACAGAAAATATATTAATGCCAAAGTAAACAAATTTTAAACATCCTCAAATGTTGAAAATACCCTGGATTAATAATGTTGATAAAAATCAAGACAGATAATACCTTATTTCATTGTAGTGAATGGTTTTATAAGATTCTGTAAAATGCCACATGAAAAGATTGCTTCAAGAGAGCAAAAGACCATTAGAAGAGATATGTTATATCATGATTTTTAGACACAGTTTTTAAAATATTAAATACATTCTTTACAATATGACCATTGCTTATTCATGTTTTGTACCAAGAGACATTTTTCAACATATTCCAGTTTTGCTCAGATGTGAGTCTGTAAGCTAAGAAAACATTTTTGTGCCAGTAGGCTGCTTTCTCAGTGATAGATACCTCATGCCTTGCCATGACATTTATGGATGGGTTTCGTATATTTACTTGCTGAAAAAAATCCTCTCTGGAAAAGAGATGCTGCCAGAAAGAATAGCATGCTTTGTAAGCTAGGTTGTTTTTTTTTATAGGAGTAGGGCCAACCAGCACAAGATGCTTTGACTTCAAAGCTGTTCAATGAAATCATCTATGAACCATCCGTATAGAAATATTCCTGTGTAAGCTACACTGAGTCAAAGAATAGGGTTGCACAAGAACACTGTTATGTGTTAAACAGCTTCTGTGTTTTCCAGTGCAGTTTATGCAAAGTATGTAACAACTTTATACTTTAACTGGAACCCTCACTTTCCCATTCTGCTGTTCCTTATAACACCAAAATCTGCCACCTCATCTACTGCATTTCATTTGGCTCAGGGGTGGCCCTTTTCTGATTATGATTGAATAAAAGAACTGACAGTCCCTTGCTATTCCTACATTACATTGATTCTGCAGCTTTGTTTGTATTTTAATCATGGATAAGCACTAAGACAGTTACTAGTTCTTAGCCATCCAAAATCCAGAATTAGCTTTCTGGGATAGCAAAACCACTTTCAGACCCTCTACCTTTAGTTTTGTAACTTCAGATGACTCTTACTTTTTGACAGGTGATCCCAAATTTGGAGTTGAACATAATTTAGACCAGAAAAAAAATACAAACAAGGTCTGAGGCTACCTTTGGGTATTTGGAAATGCCCATGGCTTTCTTGCAATAACAGTTTTGCCAATATTAAAAATAAATCAGAAAAGTAAAAAAGATCCAGAATATTTTTCTTCAGAATTCAGATTGTATAAATTTATGACAGCCCTTCTCACTCTCAAAACTATTTATATTTGAAAGGTACGACATCATTCCTCTATAGCTTTTGGTAGCAGTCTAATTTGTCAAATTTCATATGTGGTTGTTTTTTGATAGATAAGCTATGAGTGCTACAGCAACTCCTACATAGATGCCTGTTCCAATGGTGATGGATAGCACAGCCAAGAAGAGAGCTCTCCGTGAACTGGAGCTTGCTTGGTGGAAATCCCCTTTAGCAATGGCTTTGTTTGTCTGCAAGAATAGATAAGTTTGCATTAGTGAGTGTGGACATGGCAGTCACTTAACAGAAAATAGCATGAAGAAATTTGGAAAAAAAATTATAGAAGATTTGGGGATTTAGTGGCCATTATTTTGTCTCAAACACACAAAGTTTTTTCTGCAATTCATAGATGAAACTATCTTTCATCTACTTCATGGAATAAAATAAGTGTTTGCTTTTAAATCCAACATTTTCAAAGGGCATAACATCTGTGATTTGCATCCTTACCTTACAGACAATAACAGCTGATCTTTTGTGAGTATGACCAGAAATGTGTTTCTTCCACCATTTGCCCTCTAAGATAACTCTTTATTAATTTTTTTCTTATCTATTACCCCCTCCAACACAATTACTATTAAAATCAACTTCATTCCACATTTTCAGAATCAAAAAGGCCACTATTGTTATCAAATAACAATAGAAAAGCCCACAGAGACCACAGTATAGTGGAGATATGTCCACAAAATATTTTACAGTTTATCCAACAGAATGAAATTGTACATATATTTGGATAGCACTTTATGGCTAAGTTAATTTGTGATTAGGTTCTTTTTTTCCCCCTCTACCCTATTTCCCCAAAAATAAGACATCCCCTGATAATAAGCCCAATCAGGCTTTTGAGCGCTTGCGCTAAAATAAGCTTTTCCCCCAAAAATAAGCCCTCCCTGAAAATATTTAAATGCAGAGCTGGAAATCAGGTAAGACAGCAAGAGGAGCCCCATCTTGCTCCACGTGCCCCAAAATAATAAGATCTCCTTGAAAATAAGGCCAAGCACTTATTTCGGGGTTCAGATAAATATAAGACAGAGTCTTATTTTCGGGGAAACACGGTTGTAGCAACTTGGTTGAAATTACAGGGACTATAGAACAGGACTAACATTTTTATCCCATACCATTTGTTCAACTGAAATCATTTTTCTGAAATTGGCATTGATTTTAAAAAAGTATGATTCCAAAAGGAAGTGGTCTTCCTTAAAATATATTATAGTCACTAGAAAACCCTTAAGCACTTTTTTTGCATAAAACAGAGAAAAGTGAACTTATGATTTATAATTTTGATGATTTGACAGGATAAATTATAGAAAGAAAAGAGTCATGTTACAACAGCTTAGAGTAAAATGTGAATTTATAATTGCACTTATAATTGCTGTAAAAAAGATTGGAAGCTATTTCTTTGTGGTTTTTTCTTTCTTTTCTACCTTTCTTGTATTTTTTCTCCTTTCTTGCACTTTTTACTTTCTTTCTAATTTTTTCTCTTTCTTTCTTTTTTCTCAGACTTTATATTAGTTTGATTCTATATATTAGTCAATATAACCAAATTAGTCCTAAAAAGCACACACTCAAATGCTGAGTCCTTTCTTAAGTACTGGCAAGGGAAATGCTCCTTCAAAAAACTCTGCATAATGCTCACCAAATGAAAAAAAAGCTGCATAAGAGCAGGGGGGAAGGGTTGGTAGAACAAATACATTATTTGCTTCACCTAATTAGACAGTAAAATTTGAAGGAAGGAGGGGTGAATTTTGTCTAAAAAAGCTGTGAGCAAAGCAATGCTGAAACTGAAAATAAATCTAAGTTTAGAATACGTTCAGCTATACAAACACAAAATAAAATTAATGAGTAATCTGGCTTCAGTTAGTGAATGTTAAAATTTTGTTATTAAAATTAATTCTTTCTGAGGAATTCAAAGAAAGCAAAATCTTGGTCCAGAATATGCTGTAACACTGAAGTAGCCAAGCTTAATGCAAATTCTCCCACCAGAGACATGCATTTCATATGGATGAGGTAAAACCCCAATTCTCTTTTCTTTGCTGTCCTGAAGGGCATTTTTGCAATAACTACATTTCAACTCTTTCCTTTAAAAAAAAAAACACATAGTAAGACTATGGTTGGCATCAAAATGACTGATGAGCCAATTTAAAAACCTCTCCAGGCTGAAATGTTTTCAATAGCAGACTAAGAACTTTAATAAACAGAAGTCACAGCAAGCACAAGAATGCTAAGTTGAGAACTCCTCGTCCTTAACAGCACAGGGCAAGCTAACTTGTTCAGCAGGAGATACTAGTAGAGATAACGGTGCAATTCCCTTGCAAAGGTCTTAGATCCGTGATGGCAAGCATGCCAGAAGTGGCACACAGAGTCATCTCTCCAGGCACGTGAGCCTTCACCATTGCTCTTCTGGGTTCTGATGTACCGGCCAGCTGGTCCTCATGCACATGGGAGCGCCGGAAACCGGGTGGCTGCTCTTCTGGTTTCTGGCATGTGTGCATGCATGTGTGCATGCTCCCGTTTCAGCACTTGGGGCTGAAAAGGTTTGCCAACACTTTCTTAGATCCTTCAGCACTGATCATTCTTCATTGTCTTTGTTATTCTCATCTATCTGCATAGGATGTCTCTGTGATTCTATAGGTTTCTCTGCACTACTGTACTGTACATTATTTGCCTTGTATAGAAAATATATTCTGCTGTGAAATCACAATATCAAGATTGAATGCAAGTCAGAAAAAAATAAGCATTAAATGCTTGCCCAGGCTAAATGACCTCATGAGTGAATTTCTGCAGTGAATTACCAGAAGGTAGCTAATTGCTTAACAAGTGGCAAGAATATACTGTATATTTGAATAATTGTATTCTTATTTATTTATTTCAAACACATCTAAATAGCCTTTCCATGTTTGCTGGAAAAGTATGGAAATTGTAATCCAATACCTTCAAAGACAATGGGGGAGGCTAGTCCAAGTAGGAATTCTTCAGTTATATAATCAAGGTAAAAATCATAGTCTGGATTCACATATCATGCCATATCATTATTTGAATCATGGTTTGCTGAAGAAATTACAGTGGCCTGGCTCACATAACATGCTGTATCTTTCACACTTCAAAGGCCAGGTTTACTTCCCAAGCCAGAAGTAAATGAACCACCTTGTAAATAAACAGAGCAAATATGTCTGGACTAATATGAATATTGCTTGAGATTCATGCATTCTTATGATATGGAAATGTATATGTCAATCCAATTTAACAGATAGTTTCATTCATCCTATTCCAATTTTTTTTCCAGGCCAAAATAAATTTATTTTTTAAAAGCAAGGGCAAGCAAAAGGGATTAACTCACATATAGTAGAAATGAAAATAAAGATCCAGTCAATTTAAAACAGATGAAGGTTACAGAGAGTGAGAAAGGATGATCAATTTATAAGAAATAGTAAGCATGGAAAGGTAAAAGGAATTTTTATTTTGAGTTGCTGATGTCTGACAGTCATATCTTCTATTGGAGGAGCCCTGGGACAACTGGTCCCTGCAGGGAACTCTGAGAATACTTTGGATCAAATTGTATTCAATAACTAAGCACCAAAACATTTTAGGATTTATGCGACTGTGAAACAAATGGTTACTCGGATTAACATGACTAGGGAAATCAATACTGGACCTGGGCAGAGAGTGTAAAAAGGCTAGAGTGACATGCCCAATATATAAGGCACTTAGGATAGAATAGAGATTGTACTTCATAGGAATGTTCTTTTCGGAGTATTTCAACCCGAGTCAGGCACTCAAGTAAATAGAAAATATTCCAAACAAATCTGCAAAAGATGACAAAAAACCAGCAGAATATATTTAAATTATGTAGTTAAAATGCTATTTGTAGTGTGCAAGTATCTATGGGAAATACAGAAATGGTCAATTAAACCAAAAAAACAACAATTTGTATTCCAATACCAAAAAGGGCAGTGCTAAAGGATGCTCAAAATACCATACAATGATTTGTTTGTTTGTTTGTTTGTTTGTTTATTAAATTTATGTGCCACCCTCTCTGGGTGGCTTACAAATAGTAAAAAGAAACATAATTAAAGTTTAAAAAGTGATATAAAAAACTAGAACCAAGCTGATGGACAGCATCAGGATGAGACTATCTTCTTACCTCGTCAATCACTTCCAGTGGACAGCGCCCCTTTGGGGTTCCAAGCCAACTGGCCATGGTGTCAATGGCCTTCCAGAAGACTAAAAGTGTGGGAGCAGTTTTCACTTCCAGGAGCAGAATGTTCCACAGGGCAGGAGCCACAGCAGAAAAGGCTCTTGCCATTGACTCCATCAACTATAATTCCTTAACAGATGGGATCTGCAGCAGACCCCTTCCTCTGGAACAAGTGAGGCAAGCTAGTCCCATTGGAGCAAAATGGCTCTTCACATGCCCTGGAAGGATATGTGATGTGCCATGAAGGACCTTGCAGGTAATAACCAATTGCACTTCTCTCACATGCTAGTAAGATAATGTACAAAATTTTGTAATCCACACTTCAACAATACATAGAACAAGAATTGCCAAACAGGATTCAGAAGAGGCAGGGATCAAGTTTATTATCGGGCATCCTCCCAATCAAAGACTTACAATCAAGATGAGATTCATCCGATTATTCACAATCTGTCCCATTTCCTAGTGTAAAAGAGCGGTAGATCTGTCCCTATATTCAGAAAGCATGTTTCTCTCCTCCGTTGCAATTCGTAATGGCCGGGGCTTTGTTTTACACCCAGGCAGAGAGCCTCAGTGGCCAATCAGACACACACATGTCATGGAATACATTTCACATAATGCAATCTCTGTCTACATTTCCCACAATGCAATTTCTTAAGGAGACAACTCTTAATTCTTTAAGTAACTAATTTACTGTCTAAGCAGCACACTCCCCACCTGGAATTATAAAATTCCACTATTAACTAACAAATTAACTGAGGTAAACAAAGGCATAGCATAAAACAATGCAAACTTAACTATCTAATTGACTAAAGTAAACAAAGGCACCAAACAATACAGACAATGAGGTAGACACAAGGCATGCAAAGCTTGAGGTTCAATCTTCAATCTTCAAGTTTGGTCTTCCTTCTCAGAAACACCAGGTCGGTGATTGGTCTGGTGTAAAGCTTCTTGGTGAAAGTCTGTGAGTCACGGCATGAGTCTTGTGGCTTCACGACCTGAACT